CTTGGACATGTTTTTCAAGAAGCCAGCTGCCAAAAAACAAAGGATGGAACAAGAGGAGATGACCCTGCAAGCTCTGGTAGCCTCTCCTGAATCTGACTCCAATTAAAAACAATAAAAAGAGACCTTCTGCAATGTGTAAAAAGTCTGTATCTGTATGAATGTGTAAAGAAAGTGTTCCTCCACCTCCTCCTCATGACATCTGACTACCCGGCATAATTGGTGACTGCTCCATTTTCATTTTTTTTATAGTACAGTATGGTTATTTTATGCCGCGGAATGAATTATATGTTTTAACATGTATTTCTATGGGAAAATGCGTTTCGTATAACGGACTTTTCACTTAACGGACGTGCACCTGGAACGGATTAAGTACGTTATACGAGGCACCACTATATTTATTCTTTTGCTTTTTGATAGTTATTCCATTTTATATTAAAACGACTTATAGCAATTATAGAATATTTTATACTAGAGTTGAATTGATAGATAAGATCTCTTTTCATAAAATTAGTTTAGGAGGGATAAGAATAATAATCTCAATTTCAAAAATAGTAAAATTCATTTAATTATATATACATTTTTTAACATTATCATTATTTAGTGATACATTTTTCAAAATAATCAATTCATTTTTGCATTCGATGCATAAAAAACTTTCTGGGTTTTTCTTGATCCATTCCCAAACAGTATTTGGGAATGGATCAAGTATTTTAAGCATATGATAAAAAAAATATTGACCTACTAATACTATCTTTAATTTTGGAAGCAACCAAAAGTAAGAGGTGCACAACCTTCCTAAGCTGAAAATTCAATTATTGATTACTATATGGAATTAGGAAAACATGTCCATGTTTAAAGTTGACTGTAACACAGAAGAGCAACATAACAAACTGATGCTTTGCACATATAGATTAGACCATTTTGGCTACTGTTTCTACTTCCATACTTTATAGAAGAACCCTGTGGTAGAAGACTTTATTTATCATTTAACCTATATAGTATATCATACTACCACATTTTTAACATGCTATTAAAATTATTTATAAAAATAAACCAAATAATATTTTAAAATTATTTTATTATAATTTATAATACATAATTCTTATTTAATAATAATTGTTTATTGATAAACATTTTATTTGTTAATTTTAATTAATACAATTAATTATTAATTAATAATTTATTATTAATGAATTAATAAACTTCTTAAACTGGAGTAATGTGTAAATTTAAAGAGTTCTATCCTGTTCCAGCAACAATTTTTTATTTATCAAATATTTTTAGCTATTATCATAGATGATATATAGCCATAATATATGATTGAACATACATGTATAGAATTATTTTTCTTTTTTATAGTGAATTAATTACCAGTAGAAATTTTTAATTATATTGAATAATAAAAAAATATGTTTATCTAATTTGTATGATTTCTAATCTTTAAAAATTAAAAACAAAATGTGATCTTTTTCTGTAAGTCTTAAATTTAGTTTATTTATGCTTTCAAACAACAGTGGCTTTAGACATAATTTGGTCCAGGATGGTTTTTAAAACAAGTCTCTCTGATGTTAATTTGGACTGTTTCCCTAATAAAGTTCTATGTATATAAAATGTTAGATGTTTTATTTTCTAATCCTATGTACAGTGACTTATTTTCAATGATTATCTAAATTATATAATTTAACTTTTCTGGCTGAGTTTTGCTAGTTTTATTTAAATCAATTTTTTTTGCAGTGCTACTTTATATAGAAAAAATTGACATATTTATCAAGTTCTCTTCTGTCATGTTTGTTTACAGACAATTATTTGAGCTTCAGGCAAGAAAGCTCCATTTGTTGATGCAATGAATACAGTGTTTGCAAAATTCATAAGGCTATTAGTAAGTTGGGAAAACATCTGTATAGTTGTTTTGGATAATAAAAGAAGCAATAGTGATAGATTTGGCAGTACATAAAGCATATTTGCTGTTACCTTGATCTCATTTTGTAATTCATAAAATTTCATATCTTGATCAGTGTAGATTCCATAAGTCAAAGCACTTTTCAAATTGGAGCATTTCTGGACCAATTCCTAGGTTTTATTGTTATTAAAATAATAAGAGATTCTATATAAAAATCCAAACGTGTAATAATGAGGTTGAAAATCTCAAAACAACTCTTAAGTGGCGAAAGTAATTGGTTCACAATAACATTAAAGAACTTGATGCAAAATATCTGTTCTTGATTCTCAATTGGTTCATTAGGGTTTCATATGAAAAATGTCTTTCTCCTCACATCAATAGTTTTTTCATATTCAAATTTCTAATCTAAGTTTATTTCCTGTGTCACCTCTTTTGCATACAGAACTTAGTCCATCAAATTATATCTTCATATTCCTCAATTTTTTTGATTAATTTTTTTGAAGTCATTGATTACTTTCCCAAATCAGCATTCTCATATAGATCTTTACTGACTGCCTTCATACAGAACAGAATATTATACCAAATAACTACTTGACACAAAGAAAGTAAAGCTCATCATTTGCTTTCCAAGATTATCTATCTCATAGCAGGAATTGTATTAAAAGTCATGTTAGTAATTTTAACAAATGCATTGAAAATATTAACAAATTTATATTTAAGCATTTGATGCAGTATTCCTAGTGCATTTTAGACAATGGAATGAGTATGAGATTTTCCAAATGCTTTGAAAAGATATGCTATTTTCTTCTGAATGCAGCAAAGCTGTAAATGCACTGAACTGATTCAAAGATCTTAGTGTTATGTGTACATAAAATCCTAAAGGACTGTTATGTATAAAATTTAGGAAGATAAGAATTATTGAATCTTAATATTGACTTTTAAAGCAATTTTAGGTCCTTATTGATGGGACTAACTTTTTTTTTAATTTATTATCATCTCATCTCCATAAAACTTTAGAGCCACATCAGTTGTCCTTTCTGTCTAAATAAAAATGAATGTTTTTGGTCATTTTAAAATAATCATCTTCAGGTTTTACGAAAATCAGAACGCAACATGTGCAATCAAATACCAAGTTTAAATTCTTTAAAACGCCATCTGATTGGATGGGCATTGTATAGTTGACATATACAATGGAATCAGCATAGTACAGTTGCCAGGGTGTTTAAGCCTGTAGATGGAGGTATCTGCCCCTGGTTTGACAGTTGAGGAAGAAATCCAATTTTTTGGAAGTGCGGCATATTCAAATTTTTGTGAAAACCTGAAGATGGTTGTTTTAAAATCATCAAAAACATTCATTTTTATTTAGACAGTAAAGGTTAGTGCTGGATTTTTGGGTTTTTTTGTATGTATTTAAGAAGACATCTAGTTAAAGGAGTGAGAAGACATCTAGTTAAAGGAATTGAAGGCTAATATAATAAAATTATTAGATAATAATGTCAATAAAATATTTTTGATTATTTAAAAAAATATTTATCAAAGCCAAACAACCACCACATTACATCAGGCTACTTTTTTGTGATTATATTTAATTAATTACTAAATAATTTGTCACTAGAGGGAGGCATTAGGCACCATCTCTTATTAAATTTAATAATTATAATTTAATGTAATGTAATTCAGTGGTTGTTTGACTTTACAAATTTATCGGGGTTTCGTGCAGTCCATTTATGTATATATTTATCAAATATTGGCATTTATTAACTATAATTTCAAACTATTTTTTGTTATTAAAAATTTGAGAGATGCTTTTGATTTGTATCAACCTTTTATAATAATAATATAACATGTTTATTATAATAGTAAATAAACAATCAGCTTTAAATAGTTGTAAATTTTACAATGTAATTTAAAGTAATTTAAATTATTTTTAATTTATTGTGTTTGAAATTTCATTTAAAAATATGTATGAATCATCTCTACAGTACAACAATTGATTTCATATTACATAACCACTCTGAACAAATAAGCATATAGAAGCCAAAAGTTCTCTGAAATCTTTTTGATATATATAACATTCATTTGAATAGATGATTTATGAAGAATAGTTTTAAATTTAAAATTATTATATACATCCTAAAGGACATTTAAGAATGATAATTTATATTACATGCCTATATTTACTAGATCGAAAAATACGAATAAATATATTCTGATTCTTTAATTTTTTCTCCTTTCTACTTTTTAGCTTATTAGTTAGCATACAAGTATTTATAACTTAACAATAAAATTTATANTGCTCCCCTTTTTCCTCTTATTAAATATTTGTTAAAAATTAATTTTTGTATACAAATAAATATTAATGTAAGTTAGATATTAAAAATACTAACTATTAAAGTATTTGGTTAAATGCCCAGGCCTCCTTTCAGAGTTCAGAGTATGGTAACCCCCTATGAGTGCCTCTGCCCCCCATAAAGTGGGTATTTAATTTTGCTGGAGTCAGAGTCGAGTGCTTTTTTACCAACTCTGCAGCCCTGTTGAAAGTTTTAAAATTTTTGCTTCATCCAGTCCTGATATATAATGTAAAATAGACACCTACACACCATGCACATATAGAATTTTGTAGAGATGTTTTTATGTTTTTGTGCTCTTGGTGTATCAAAACATCAAGAAATGCAAAAAAGAGAAAAAATTTGACCAAAAATCATACAAATCATACATGTTATATTCCTTAATGGCTGGGAAAGTAAAAACAATAAGTTAACATATAATAAATTTAACTCATAGTTCTTTGAAATAATGAAATTATACACGTATACAGAGGGGAATTAACCAGAAATATATCTGCTTTCAAATAGGAGTGTTTAATAATAATAATAATAATTAAAATGTGGATGGATGTTCAAAAAATTAACAGGAAGTGTCTACAAGTGAGGAATCTGGAAACTCAGGCAGAAAAATCATGATTGCAGATGAATATATCTACTGTACACAAAGGCAAAGGATTTTCATATTTTCTAAAGATGCTCTTAATAATGTTAGGCAAAGAAAAAGCTATTTGTTAAGTTTGTAATTACAGTTTAAAATTGGCATATAACTTGTCCCATCAAATAATGTGCATAATGTGTACCATCTTTCAAATTTCCTTTTAAACACATATAACTTATAAGTTATCCATACGAAATTACATTAATATATTTATTTCAAAATATGAAAACTAAATTTTCTATTAGAATCTGTTCCAAAAGAAATACTGTACATTAGTTTTAGCATTGAATGTTTACACTTAATATTAAAACTAACCATAGATAGATTAAAATTTTTTTATTATTGTTTGATTTCTACATTGCTTAACCATTATATATTATATTTACTTATAATATACAATATAATGTACGTATATATCAGACGAACCTGTATACATAAAGTTTTTTCTGATATTTATCCAAATTTTTTCTTTTGCCAATCACTTTTATAAAATTAATTGAAATGCATTGTATTATATATCAGTTAGATTCTGTATTTAGTTACCATGTAGTATAATTTACAGTTTTATATTTATAAATTTAAAATAATTAAGAAAACAGATAAACTTTCTGTAATTATTAAAATAACATAAAAATTACCTTATTACAGTAAAATTTTGAATAAAAAGTTTTATTATTCATTTGTGTAAAATAGAATTGAAGGAAAATAATTTCAAATAAGTTTAAACTATTTTCATTCAATTATATTTTACATTATATGATTTTAAATTAATTGAATAAAATATTACTTTTTACATTACAATTAGTTCTTAAATATTTATGGTATTTAATTAACATTTCTTTATAGCTCTGTGATGTTATATCAAAATGGGAACAAGCATTAAGAGAAAAGCACTTAGGAAAATTTGAAAACACAAGAATTATTAAACTTATGTATAAAAACAGGTAAATCAATTTAAAGTTTTACTGAATTATTATATATTTCATATTTATTGTAAATTGTACTATAAACTTATTATTTAGTGTTGATATTCTTTTTCATCTCATATTTATTGTATTTAGAATATTCATCATAATTAATTTTAATGTTCATGTATGCTTTAATATTAAATATAAATTCAAAAACAGTAAAAATGTCCTATTTATGATTTGTATTCAATGATAGGCTTTTAGATTGATTCTATAACATATGATATATAAACAGAGCAGTTCATTCAATTTCAAATATTCAGTGTCAACAAATGTAAACATTATGATTGTGTTTACATTTTATTTCAAATAAGTTTTCAAGTAGAGTAAATACATCAGTGAAAACAGTTCTCAATATTAACATTTTGATTGAACAACAGGTAAAATCATGTATATAGTCATATTTTCCTTTAGTTCTTTAACTACTTTTTTAAATGATTTAAAAAACTATCATTTAAAATTTCAGCATATTTTTTTTTTATATAAACACCAAATTGTATGACATTAGTCTTATCAAAAGTGGAAATTTTTTTTAAAAATTTGATATAACAATCAATCAATATAACATATTTTTTGACAGGTTTCCTAGATGTACTAGTTTAAAAGCAAGTCTACTGTATAACAATTCTCTTGAAGAGGAATTTATACATAACTTTCACTTTATGAAAAAAATAAAAACAAAATTTCTTCTTTGTCATTAGTCTATTACTTTGCTAAATTTATAATTTTTGTAATGTTTTAAATAACTCTGATTAGCTTATTGTTTACTAATTACAATTTAAAAGAAAATTAATTATGGTATTTTTTAATATTATGTTATCATTATAAATATATAATAATGTATTATATTTTCTAATAATCAATGATAGAGATGATTTAACTATCAGGCTTGAACTTGATTAATTAAATTATTTGATTACTAGTATAATTTGGACTTAGTGTTTGGTGTTCTATTTATTCACATATTATTAAAATTATAATTATATCATTTTTTAAATTCTAGTTATAAATTTTATAATTAAAATACAAATTTTTCATAAAATCATTTCTATTTAAGATAATTTGTTAAATTATTAATATTTTTTAATCTAGATTGTGTTTCCGTCAGTTATTGAAAGCTGAAACTGATAAAGAAAGATTATTAACAGCATATCAAATTAATGATGAAGTGATGCAAGGAAAATTTCCACTTACTAGGGAATTAGCACTTGAATTAGCTGCACTGATGGCACAAGTAATTATTTTGAATTAGAAATATTTAAATTTAGTGTAAATATTTATTAAATATATACATATTTATTAAATATTTGAGAAATATATGATATATGTATAATATAAATATAATAACATGACAATTTATGTCTTTAATCTAAAATACGTTTTATTCCCATATTCATGTGCATAATCTGCAGGTTATGAGGGTTGAAAAGAATTTGAAGTGGGTGTGTATTATATGCAAATATTAAATTGCATTTAAACATGTGTCAAATAGCTTCTTTCTTTCTTGGCTAAAGTCACTAAGAGAATCTTTAGAAACCATGAAGAATCCTTTATTTCTACAGAGATATTCATCTGCCATTATGATTTTTCTGGAAATCATTGAACATACATACATTCATATGTATATCTTGCCTGTGATTCTCTTCTGTTCATTTTCTATATGGTCAATCCATACTTTAGCACAGGGATGTGCAACCTTTTTCTATATAAAGGCCACATTTCAAGACTTTTGAACTGATGGAGGCCACATACAAGAGAAAAGAGAAAAAATGTTGGTAAATCACAATTATTTATTCATATATAATTATAAATTAGCATGGGTGTACTTAATTTAGCTTCTGGAACTGATGTAAATGTAATATATTGGAAATATTTGGTTAAATATTAGTCACTGCTAGTTTTAAATTAGTTTCAATGTGTCTGTTAGCTGGTTTCTTGTTTTAATTTTCACTAAATTCATTGTGGAAAAACTATTCACATACATAAGTTGTAGAAAATTATGTTTGACATTTTGCTGCATACTTCCTTAAGCTGGGAAATATATTTATTCACATTTTATGCGATGCGGGCCTCAAAATATATTAATGCAGGCCGCAGGTTGCCCATCCCTGCTTTAGCATATAGAAAATAAATAGATGTTATTAGACACTCCTATTTGAATTTGTATCTTGAAAGCTGATGACTTTTTGGTAATTATCTCTTTCTATATGTAATGGTGTTATTTTAGAGAAATTTGATGGTTATGACTTGATAATTGTCATCATAATAAATTATAAACACATGACATTTTTCATTGCTATAAAAATAATTATATATACATTTAAATTATAAGCCTGGCTTGACTGCAATGTTTTTTGTTTTGTTTTGTTTACATACAACAGCATTACTTTCAACAATTTTTCTAATAGAATCAAAACTAAGAAAATGTCAAATAAAACCAAAACTACAAATGTATAAATATATGTGTATATGCATTCAGAATGAATAAGAGAAAACAAGACATATACAGTGGAACCCCGGCTAACGAACGTCCTGGTTAATGACCAAATCGGTTAACGAACTTTTATTTTGCAAAAATTTTGTCTTGGATAACGAACGTAATGGTATTTTGTGTCAAATTTTAGTTGGTGTTCGGCATGCGCGAGTTAAGCATTGCTTTTCCGAGTGTTTGTGCTATACTTCTTTATTTCAGTTTTGTGATTTATATATTTAATCAATATGGCATCAAAGAAAGAAAAAAGTCATAGTGGCATTAGAAAACGACAACGCAATATAAACGACAATGCGCTATCGCATTTGAGAAAAATTTTGATTAAAAGAGTAAGACAATCAACTTTAGATCAATTTCTTGTTCCTTACGGAAAGAGTTTGTTTGTTTGTTAAGTTATGGCAACGCAACACTTAGGCGATCTGCCTAGGGGAATGCCTTCTGGGAGGTGTTTTTAAGGGAAACTGGCCCCTATTTAGGCGTTACAGACGTGGAGAAAACCCGGAAAACTCCACGTGGCCAGCCCGTCTGAGCGAGGTGCGAACCCACGAACGAACTCCCCGTGTTCAAGGTACGAAGACCACTTAGCCACTGGTGGGTTTTTTTTCCGAAAGAGACTTCGACTCGAAGAATCTTCCAATGAAGTGCTACCCGTTATTTTTTGGAGGGGATTCCCCTTCTAAGCATTAAGGTTCGTATATCTCCACTTTTCTGCCACCAACTACAACAAACGAAGGTATGTACAGTGCTATTTTATTAAACAAAGTTTACATGTTTGTTGCTGTAATGATAGATACTACGTTTTCCTACATTTTCATCAAAGAAAATTACTGTATATTACAAATAAAATCACAAAAATTTCGGAGACTAGAACGGATTAATTGCATTTGCATTAATTTCTATGGGAAAAATTGCTTCGGTTAACGAACAATTCAGTTAACGAACGGAGTCGCGGAACGGATTAAGTTCGTTAACCGGGGTTCCACTGTATATTACCAGTATAAATGTTGCCATGAAAGCCTTTATTTCATACAACATAATGTACAACAATTAGCACCTGTAGATGTTTTATACAAAGATAATGAACTACTCTTAAGCTGTTTTTTGAAAGTAATTAAGGATATTTGTTTGTTTCCTGTTGAGAACTTGGTATGTTTTCATCTTTATTTGAACACAGAATCTATGGCAAACTTTGAAAATGGCAGTGATATCATGTTACTCTGCTTGCTATACCAATTTATGAGTCTAGCAAGTTTCCAATGCTAAAAAACTATAAAATATGGTGTCCTTTCACTATCACAAGATGATAAATGATCTTGATAATTTATTGAATATTTGTAATTCTACCATCCTAAGTGAATAATAAATTTAATATTCCCTTTTTATAAAGCCACACCAACTTCTGTATAGTACATTATCAGGTTACATTACATATCACAAACCAAAGCAAGGAGAACAAACCATACAATTCCATAAAGTACAACCAACATCTCAAATGAATTTACATGGAAATAGCAAGGGCCAATAACATATTTTGTGGCTTTTAAATGCAGCCTCACAATGTACTCATTATTGAGGAACTCCAAGGACTGGTACAAATACATCATCCCAGTCACAGATAACACATCTAACTGACAATTGGAATACATTTGCACCACTACTAGCCCTGTAGGCCAACAATTGAAAGAACACCTCACGTCTATAAATAAAGGCATAATACTACCACCTTAGTCCTCCTAGCTATGGAACACCAGATTCAAATGCACTTACACATGGTCCAGCCAGAGGGCTTTCATTCATTAAACACTTCAAAGTATTAAAAATATATAAAGCTTATAAGAAAAATGTTGCAATTAATTTTAAAGATGTCCTACATCAGACCTGGAGATCTTTATTTGAGGTCTTGTTTTAATTTTCTACATCATTACAACAACAACCAATCAGATGGCACTTCACCATCACTTAAAGATTGATGTTTGATGTTCTATTTTTAACATTGATACTTAACATGATGAGATAGCTGAAAGCTGTTGAGAATTTTTATTAATGAATCTTACATGTTTCTTACTGGAATTTGGTTTATGTCTTTGTTATAATTATTCAGATTTTTTGTTGTGGTTGTGTTGTATTAAGATTGTGATTTATGAAAATTTGAACAGCCCAATGAAAAAATATGTTAAATTGAGTTTCTACTGTATATATATTAACCCAATAATTTCAATATTATCATATTTGAATTTTACATTAAAATTTTTTTCAAAATTATCAACTAAAATAGTATATTTATTTTATTTTAAAGTTATTATAAAATATACATATATATTCAAAATAAATTATCATCTTTGGTTATATTTAATTAAAAGATTTAAAAATTAATTTTGATAATAAAATTTTTTAATATTTAATTTATAAAATAATATCATATGTTGCAATTTTATGATTATTATTATTATTATTTAGATTGAATTTGGAGACTATAATGGTGATAAAATCAGAGGAAGTGGTGGTCCTCCAACTAATCCTCAACATCAGTTACAGCAAGTGATTGAGAAATTTTATCCTCAGAGGTATCGAGAAATCCAAGGGGAAAAGTGAGTAAATTAGATAATATTTTAATTTTTATATTAGTACTTATAAAAATCATAAAATTCAGAAATTTTGCTTTTTGTTCAAAATTTTCCTTTGTGTTCACCTATATTGAACATAAAGAAAGAATAATGCAAAATTTCTGAATTTTACAAAAAGGAATACAGTAATTTTACATAAATGTCTAATTTATGTAAAATTTTGAAATATACAATAAAGCAAAATGCTAAAATAGAAAAGGTTTACTTCTTTTATCAGCACATATGACAAAAGTATCTATAATTCTATTTTAACAAAAGAATTCAATATTCCAATAGAATACACTATTAATTTTTGTTGTTCAATTTTGTTAGTCTTCAAGATGAAATTTAAAATCTATACGTAAATTTTATCTTTAAACAAATTTTCCTCTTCTTTAGAAGTATAAAAAAAATGTCCTTTACTGAAGGAAAATAGCCAACAGTCATGGAAATAAGAGTCGGCAATGTAGTATGTATATTCAGAGAAGATATCTTGAATTATTTTAACTTATACTTGTGTATCTTGTGTTAACTGGGAAACCAATACATAAAAATAGATGGAATAAGAGAATTATAGCCTATATATATATAAACAAGTTGGTGACATGGAGCTGGTAATGCTGATCCCAATACTGTCTATTGTTCACTTTTTTAACTAATTTTAAAGATTAACTTCATATTTAAAAAGACATTATTATTTTGCTCACACTTATAAGTCAAAAAATTATTTTTATAGTATTAAAATGATTTCTATTTATAGTCGAATTTGTTATCCTACATATTTCTTCTGCAAAGTCTAATTTATTTCCCATATAGCCATTCTATCATTTAAAATTATTTCTTTTGAAATGTGAATCAAATAATTACACTTAACTAATAAAAATCAACTTTCATATCATCCAACACTGGAAGTAATGTTTTAAACTCATCAAAACATTCATTTGCACTCCTGATATTTTTCTAATTATAATTGTTTTCAAATTTTACAACTGAGTTTTTTACACTTACAAATGAAATATATAAAATTATATTAAAATAGTAAATGAAGACAGATTAAATAATAGCCTCATTATATAGAATGTTATAGACAGAGGCATCTCATTTTGTCACACAGGAAATGGCAGACAACCTAATAAGAGAACATTTAAATAACATATAATTTTATCTTTAAATTTCAATGGGACAGTATATGTTGCAGTTTTGTTTCATTTTTGGTGTTATTCTAAACTTTATTTTTTGATAATTGATAATTCAATAATTGAAATTATAACAATAACAATACAAAACAAATACTTTCACATGTATAGGTATGAAAATAGAATGTTTGAGAAACTTTTTATTAAAAAGCAGTCTGTGAAAATTCAACGTGCACATATATTAGTAATATGAGATGTGTTCAAAAAATAACTGAACTTTATTTTTTTAATTTTTATTCTTCAAGTTATGGAATATTGGTTCTTGTCCCCTTCAAGTATGCTCCTCCCCTATTCACATACTTATCTCAGTGGTATTTTTAGTTTGCAAAGCAATCTTGATAAACTTGTTTTGGACTGTCCTTCAATGCTTATGACAAATTTGTTTTAATGTCATCAATTGTGTCAAAACAACAGCCTTTCAGCACTGATTTTAATTTTGGAAACAATAAAAAATCACAAGGAGCCAGGTCTGGTGAGTAGAGAGGACAGTTATTTGATTTTTGGCACAAAACTGGCAAATTGACAGGGCTGAGTGAGCAGGTATATTGTCATGGTGAAGAAACCATGAGTTGTCTCACCACAACTTTGGTCTCTTTTTGCAAATTTTTTCATGCAATTGTTTCAAAACATCTGCATATTACTGATGGTTGAATGTTTGACCTTGAGGCAAAAATTCAAACTCTGATTTTCTGAATATGGTGTCATCAGCTGAGGTTGAATGCTTTCCTGGTTGAGGGTCATCTTCAACTATTTGATGACCACCTTTGAATCAGGTAAACAATTCATAACACTGCATATGACTTAGAGTATTGCATCTATAAGCTTGATCCAAAAGTTGAAATGTTTCCATAAAAGTTTTTTCCAGTTTCACGCAAAACTTTACATTGCATCGTTGCTCCCATAAATTGCACATTGCAAAAATCGCCATGAACACTGAAACACCTTCCACTCAAAAAACAATAATGCTGGAACAAAACGAGATATCAACAATCCAAAAAAAGCAGCTTACTTGGTAAGTTATCGCGAATATAGTGTTGTCAACTTCATGACCTAGGACATTTTGTTTTTGCTATATTCAAAAAGTCTGGTTATTTTTTGAACAGACTTCATACATAATATACATACGAATACATGAAATTATAAGAATAAATTCATAAAAATAAATTTTATATATTTGTTACAATTGTGTAAGTAAATATGTTTATATGTATTTTGATAATTCAGTTTAAATAAACATTTATCACAAATTCTATTTACGTTTAAAAATACAGTAGAGCGTCGTTTATGCGAAGGTCGGTTATCTGAAGGAATTCCAGTCGACAAATTTAAATTTTGCCAGTGCTGTGGCACTGTAATCTTTGTCTATGTCTTCGACTACTCAAATATTTTACGTTTTTGATACNAATGGGAACAAGCATTAAGAGAAAAGCACTTAGGAAAATTTGAAAACACAAGAATTATTAAACTTATGTATAAAAACAGGTAAATCAATTTAAAGTTTTACTGAATTATTATATATTTCATATTTATTGTAAATTGTACTATAAACTTATTATTTAGTGTTGATATTCTTTTTCATCTCATATTTATTGTATTTAGAATATTCATCATAATTAATTTTAATGTTCATGTATGCTTTAATATTAAATATAAATTCAAAAACAGTAAAAATGTCCTATTTATGATTTGTATTCAATGATAGGCTTTTAGATTGATTCTATAACATATGATATATAAACAGAGCAGTTCATTCAATTTCAAATATTCAGTGTCAACAAATGTAAACATTATGATTGTGTTTACATTTTTATTTCAAATAAGTTTTCAAGTAGAGTAAATACATCAGTGAAAACAGTTCTCAATATTAACATTTTGATTGAACAACAGGTAAAATCATGTATATAGTCATATTTTCCTTTAGTTCTTTAACTACTTTTTTAAATGATTTAAAAAACTATCATTTAAAATTTCAGCATATTTTTTTTTTTATATAAACACCAAATTGTATGACATTAGTCTTATCAAAAGTGGAAATTTTTTTTAAAAATTTGATATAACAATCAATCAATATAACATATTTTTTGACAGGTTTCCTAGATGTACTAGTTTAAAAGCAAGTCTACTGTATAACAATTCTCTTGAAGAGGAATTTATACATAACTTTCACTTTATGAAAAAAATAAAAACAAAATTTCTTCTTTGTCATTAGTCTATTACTTTGCTAAATTTATAATTTTTGTAATGTTTTAAATAACTCTGATTAGCTTATTGTTTACTAATTACAATTTAAAAGAAAATTAATTATGGTATTTTTTAATATTATGTTATCATTATAAATATATAATAATGTATTATATTTTCTAATAATCAATGATAGAGATGATTTAACTATCAGGCTTGAACTTGATTAATTAAATTATTTGATTACTAGTATAATTTGGACTTAGTGTTTGGTGTTCTATTTATTCACATATTATTAAAATTATAATTATATCATTTTTTAAATTCTAGTTATAAATTTTATAATTAAAATACAAATTTTTCATAAAATCATTTCTATTTAAGATAATTTGTTAAATTATTAATATTTTTTAATCTAGATTGTGTTTCCGTCAGTTATTGAAAGCTGAAACTGATAAAGAAAGATTATTAACAGCATATCAAATTAATGATGAAGTGATGCAAGGAAAATTTCCACTTACTAGGGAATTAGCACTTGAATTAGCTGCACTGATGGCACAAGTAATTATTTTGAATTAGAAATATTTAAATTTAGTGTAAATATTTATTAAATATATACATATTTATTAAATATTTGAGAAATATATGATATATGTATAATATAAATATAATAACATGACAATTTATGTCTTTAATCTAAAATACGTTTTATTCCCATATTCATGTGCATAATCTGCAGGTTATGAGGGTTGAAAAGAATTTGAAGTGGGTGTGTATTATATGCAAATATTAAATTGCATTTAAACATGTGTCAAATAGCTTCTTTCTTTCTTGGCTAAAGTCACTAAGAGAATCTTTAGAAACCATGAAGAATCCTTTATTTCTACAGAGATATTCATCTGCCATTATGATTTTTCTGGAAATCATTGAACATACATACATTCATATGTATATCTTGCCTGTGATTCTCTTCTGTTCATTTTCTATATGGTCAATCCATACTTTAGCACAGGGATGTGCAACCTTTTTCTATATAAAGGCCACATTTCAAGACTTTTGAACTGATGGAGGCCACATACAAGAGAAAAGAGAAAAAATGTTGGTAAATCACAATTATTTATTCATATATAATTATAAATTAGCATGGGTGTACTTAATTTAGCTTCTGGAACTGATGTAAATGTAATATATTGGAAATATTTGGTTAAATATTAGTCACTGCTAGTTTTAAATTAGTTTCAATGTGTCTGTTAGCTGGTTTCTTGTTTTAATTTTCACTAAATTCATTGTGGAAAAACTATTCACATACATAAGTTGTAGAAAATTATGTTTGACATTTTGCTGCATACTTCCTTAAGCTGGGAAATATATTTATTCACATTTTATGCGATGCGGGCCTCAAAATATATTAATGCAGGCCGCAGGTTGCCCATCCCTGCTTTAGCATATAGAAAATAAATAGATGTTATTAGACACTCCTATTTGAATTTGTATCTTGAAAGCTGATGACTTTTTGGTAATTATCTCTTTCTATATGTAATGGTGTTATTTTAGAGAAATTTGATGGTTATGACTTGATAATTGTCATCATAATAAATTATAAACACA